TGGAGGCCCAGGATGCTTCGATAGCGGCCTTAAGCTCATCCAGAGTGTTGGGTCTTGTGTCTCTCAACTTTCTCTTCACAATATCCCACAGGTTCTCTATGGGGTTCAGGTCAGGAGAGTTGGCAGGCCAATTGAGCACAGTAATACCATGGTCAGTAAACCAGTTACCAGTGGTTTTGGCACTGGGAGCAGGTGCCAGGTCATGCTGAAAAATGAAATCTTCATCTCCATAAAGCTTTTCAGCAGATGGAAGCATGAAGTGCTCCAAAATCTCCTGATAGCTGCTGCATTGACCCTGCCCTTGATAAAACACAGTGGACCAACACCAGCAGATGACATGGCACCCCAGACCATCACTGACTGTGGGTGCTTCACACTGGACTTCTGGCATTTCCTTCTTCCCAGTCTTCCTCCAGACTCTGGCACCTTGATTTCCAAAGCAAATACAAAATGTACTGTAATCAGAGAACATAACTTTGGACCACAGCAGCAGTCCCAGGCGAGGTGCTTCTGACGCAGTCTCTTGTTCAAGATTGGCTTGACCTGGGGAATGTGGCACCTGTAGTCCATTTCCTGCACACGCCTGTGCACGGTGGCTCTGGATGTTTCTACTCCAGACTCAGTCCACTGCTTCCGCAGGTCCCCCAAGGTCTGGAATCGGCCCTTCTCCACAATCCTCCTCAGGGTCCGGTCACCTCTTCTCGTTGTGCAGCGTTTTCTGCCACACTTTTCCCTTCCCACAGACTTCCCACTGAGGTGCCTTGATACAGCTCTCTGGGAACAGACTATTTGTTCAGCAATTCAGGTGTTTAGAGTTACGTCGTTGATTCAGATGGTTCGGTTAATAGCTTGTTTAGAGAACCTTTTCACGATATGCTAATTTTTTGGGACAGGCATTTTGGGTTTTCATGAGCTGTATGCCATAATCATCAGTATTAAAACAATTAAAGACCTGAAATATTTCAGTTGGTGTGCAATGAATCTGAAATATATTCTGTCTGAAGCTCCGGGCACGTATAAAAAACAAACGGTGTTTCTGAAGCTGTGTGTCGGAGCTGGTTTCATTTGGCAAAAGTCATGTGATCGATGACGGCCGAAGCTTTGGAAGTGCTGAAGGACGTCACGGTTTTGGGACCTGATTGAAAGCTTTACGAAGGGTTGGTGGTGTTTTGGTGAAACAATCTGTGCAACAAAGAGCGACATATAATGAGACATGGAGCCAGCCTGATGTTTTGTGTTCAGTTTAATATTTCATTATCACTTTTATCCCAAGATAAAACTAAACCTTTAGAAAAACACTATGTCCATAAATTACAGTCGACTCACATCAACTGGTTCATTCCATGAAGTCATGGAGGCAGGAAACCTGCAGCACCAGTCATCCTGAACTGGTGTTGTTGGGAATCAAATATCTGTGTTTCTGTGCCCACAGCATCATGCCATGCCACATGTATTAACATGTTTATTCATCAAAAGTATTTATTCAACAGATAATCATTTATTCTTTGAATCATATAAAATAAAAGTTCAAAGCACCAAAATGGCAGCCCGATGTCAAATGTTGCAGGATATTAAAGAAAAGCTGTCGCCGTGCGTTGGACAGTCACGATGACGAGTTCAGTTCCTGCTGAGCGCTGCTGATGCTTCATCCATGTCATGATCAATAAAAAAAATTAAAAACTGGACTTCTGTTCTGAGCTTGAAGACGTTCCGCTTCCCATCTGAGATGCTTTATAACAAATAAAATAAAATAATGATTTTTTCTTTTAATGGATCTTTTAAGTGATTTATTTCCCTCTTAAGGATATTCTTAGACAAAGCAACTTTATCGTGCTTCGTTAGTGTCAGCAGGTCGTGTTTGTGACAGCTACCAATAAGACTCAAGGAAGAGCTTAAAAACTCTTACACGTTAAATGGGATGGACATGGCTGAACCTTCAGACCATCCCCAACTCAGAAATAATCCACAGAACAAATCACTAACACCTTAGCTCAACAAGTTTAAGAGAATAGATCCCGGACGAGCCCCCACATATGTTACGTCCCAGCTCATTGTGGACGCAACATAAATGACAAAAACACAAAAGTTTGTTTAAAAAATAATAATAATTTACTGTCCAAGTACAAGACTATAAATAAAACACAAGAATAACCCGAGTTCTCCTCAAGAATGAACTGAAAACAGCAAAATAACGTCTTGTGACAAACGAACTGACACATTGAGGATAAAAGTGAAAAATCCAAAAGAAACTGAAATACACAATCCCATCTAACAAAGAGCAGAAACTAACACACGTGGCAAAACCATGAGAACAAAATATTTCCAAACAAAGTGTCTTAGCTGCAAAAGACACAACATCACAGAACCAACAGCAAGACAAGCTTAGAAAACAGCAGAGTCAGCGTAACAACCAGACCCTGACATACTGAAGCCCAGCAGGCCTGACTGAAGGGGCTCCTCCTTCATCTGGCCTCATCTGAAGCTGCTGGAGGAGATGTGGACACCATGTTCACGTCTTCTCCAGCCCATTGTCTGTGGACAGGTAAGCCTTGTCAGGAATCCACCAGCAGAGGGAGGCAGCAACCAGCAGCTGGAGATGAACAGCCAAGAGGAAACTCCTCATATAGAGGCAGTTCAAGATAAAAGAAAACTACCAGAGGAGAAAGGCGGTACAAGCCTGAGGCCACAACAAGACAAACTTCTCACTGGTTTAACAAATTAAGACGTTCACCCAGAGGAAAAAGGATAAAAAACAACATCACCAAAGGAAGCACAACTTGTTTCCTGACTGTTTCCTGACTCTTGTGATAACTTCAGTGACTCAGCTGTTTGTT